AGAACCGCAGAGCAAAGTGGAGGAAGACAGAACGAGGGAGCTCGGACCCTGAAGGAGGGAAAGAGCAGATGAGTGAGGGAACTCCTCCATCTCGCAGCATCAACTCTCAGTCCCCAGTGGACCAGGGCAGAAAACAGAAAGAACCACTGGAGATGCAGCCAAGGTGAGAAGAGACAGACGACCGTCGTCACAGTTATCTTAGTGAAACAGCGTCCTGTTAAAGGGGAAATTTGTGAAGCACTGTCGGCCAGACTAGAATTTTTTTTTTCAAAACTCTGATAGCCAACATTAACTTCTGGAGAAAGCTCAATATCATTAGTCAATAATTCTAATTCATTAGTGTATTTTGGAAATAGCTGTAGATATTTCTAGATATATATTACTAGAATAAATTGTCTGTTTAAAGTTATACCTGGATATTTAAGTACTAAGTAATTCCTAATACTTAATTAAGTATTTGTTCTCTCTCCAGTATCAACAGGACAGTGGGTCCTGGTGGTCCCTTCTTTCCATCCTGCTTACCAGGCACCCTGCTTAACTCTGCCACCTATGCCCAGGCTCTCTCGCAGGTCGCCACTCTGAAAGGTAAATATGATTTTTGTTAACTGATGAATAAAGATGGTAATAAAGATGATGAAGATCTATTTTTTAAGTTGTCTTATCACAAATTCCACTGATTCTCATTTTTCAGGTAATGGCTTGTGCTCGTGCTGCGTTTCGGACCCCATGGGCTTGTCCTTCCTGCCACCCTATGGTTGTCAGGGTAACCGCACAGCCAGTGTGGCCGCCCTGCGCATGAAGGCCCGTGAGCACTCTGAGGCAGTGCTGCAGTCTGCTAACCTGCTTGGTGCAGCAACCGGACCAGGTGCCAGCGTGGGAGTCCTGTCAGGAGTCGGCGTGAGCGCAGCTGGGGTGGTAAGACCCTCGGTGGGTCCTCCCATTGAGGTGTCAGGCGCTGTCGGAAGAGGGGGAGATAGCTCCAGTCCCACCTTGGCCTCCAAGGTCCCAGTCCTGGGCAGCAGTCCTGACAAGCACCCTCACTGCCCTAAGGAACCACTGGAGAAAAAGTGAAGGCGCTGGACACAAACGTGGATGTACCGATACTCTAAATCTGTGTGACTGTGCCTGCTGTAACTACTCGACCCTGGCTGTATGAGAAACTAAGCACAAATGACTGACTCCAGAAACAGCCTGGGACGGACTTTTCTCATATCACACTGTGTGGATGAAAACATTTAACTATTTATTTGACAGTAAGTTATGATTGTGAGAAATGCTCAGTAACTGGGGCCTCGTTCCCTCATAAAAGCACAACTGTGGTTTTTGGATCTATTATCTGTCTTCATGCGCTCTTGGACTCTTTCGATGGACTTACATAGATACAATATGTGTGCGACAAAGACATATTTGATAATGTGAATTTAAATAATCCTGATGTTGTTCCTCTCATTTTCATTAGGAGGTCTGGTGGTTACCTTGTAAACATTAATGCATGTAAACTGTAAGTGTGCAAATGGCTGGCAGGACAGTGAAGAGTTTTGCAGGATTTTGGGCAATATATTGTTTATGGCATCAGGTCAAGCAATCGCCTCTCATTCTTTTGAGTTTAAAAGTGAAAGTGCACTTTAATATTAATCAGGCATTTTAAGTGTAAATGTGTACATGTGCTAGACTATGTGTGAACCCCAGGCAGCCTAAAGCAGACTCAGCGAGAGAGCGGCAGTTGTCCCTTCCACTCTGTTAGCACATCTGTAGTGCCAGCAGACAGGGAACACACCAGTCCTGTTGTGACATGTTCTTTAAAACAATTAAAGATGTACTCGCTCATGTTCCTCTCCTGTTGCCTCTCGCTCCAGCCATCTGTTCTAATACATTATTTATCAGCTTCCTTTAAAGCTGGGAGAGGAGAGCATTCGTGACTCTTATTATTTATTTACTTTTAGGAACGCTTGCGCTCACCCCTCCTCTCTGCGAGCCTTTTTTTATTTTTATTTTTAATAAACCCCATTAAAGATGATATATGCTATTTGTTAATGTTGGATTTACATTTGAAAAAATATCATCTGTCATCACCTCAGGGCTCTTCACAACGTAGTTTATCACAGGCAATATATTTGTTGATTCATTATTCTTAAATATCTCCCCTCACTAGAATGACTCTTGACTATAAGATCGACTGATCAGACTGAGAATACTTAACCGCAGTGCACACAACCAGTAGTTGCTGATTCAATTTGCGTCCTTGAGGATTTTCAGGAAATTACTTTTGATAGTCAATAACACAATTAAGTAAACTACACACACATTATCATGAATAATTGATAAGAAATTATGTATTACCATGAAGTAGTGGTTCAATAATTGATGAGGCGACACCCTGGTGACACAGGAGAGGGAGATAATGTCAGAAGTCGTGCCAGGTTGTACACAGATCATCTTTTTCTTCTTTTTTTTCACACCATTATGTGTGCATGTTGTAAATATCTGAAAACTATACCAATAAAGTGAATCTTTTACTGATTGTGACTTTAAGACTTTTTGGTAGGATTTTTAATTTCTATGAACCCATGCAACATTCGTGTTACATTTTCAGAGAAAATCCCCAAATTTAGACAAAAGTTTCAACTGGAGGCCCTTTTTTTAATTTTACATATTTGATATCATAAAACACCGCAGGTATAGAAATATTGCATTATGTAGCGACTGCTCTCCTGGATCTAAAAATGGCCCAAATATTATTAGCAAAAACATTGCGCCTTCATATAATGCTTTATCTTTAAGTGCATGAGAGAGCTCCAGAGCAAATATGTTGAGCCCAGTGACATGGCGGCTAATGATAACACAATATCCTTATACAAACCAGCTTCTTCTCCAGAATGTACCAGTATGGACGACGTAATCCGGCCAACTCATACAAAAGACACAGAAAAACACATTCAGTCTCTCCAAAATTGAATACAGCAGTTGTGGAATTTAATCATTAGCCAAAACAAAGGATGCTGAAGTTATAATGACTCCGATCATCATTAAGTTCTGCATGGTGCCCATAATTCACTGCTTTAATATTTCATAAACAAGTCAAGTTGGTGTTGACATTCAGCTGTGCATGTGGCATCATTGATAATTTTCTGTCACCTAAAAAAAGTCCTGAGGCGGTTTTGTGGAGCATTGTTATATCAAATTAGCTGGAGAGTGGCCAGAAAAGCAGACAAACATGGTGAATACGGGGGACAGCAGTTGAACTCTGTTCTTACAGTGCAGTTAATGGGCTTCTTTTGTTGCAGTAATGAAATATTTTTGCAGGGATGTGGGGAAAAAATGTCCTGAAACAGGGAGACGCTGCGCACATGCACCCATCCACAGACGCACGCAGACAATATAAGACAGAAAGAGGCCGTACACTCAAGAAAGAGTCATCCATACATGCAGCTCCTTTTGCTTGACATTAGGTGCAACACTAAATTTTTACTATTTACATACCTAGCTCCCAAAGTCAGACATAAAGTGAATTCAGGCCTATGTCCAGTGAAGGGCCAAAACAATCTGCTAAAGTATCGTCTCTGCTTTTAATTCCTGCAGCGGAGCTGACCAATAACCCAATCAATTAGAATCAATTAGGCTCATTTCTGGATGGAGATTATACAAACAAAGCATATCTTAATGCAGCGAGTAATGTGCCTGTCTGCTGTTTGCCACATAACCACAGCTCTGCTCCCCCTTACTCAGCAGAAGGAAAAGCATCCTCAGCGTTTGTGATCAATGCTCACAGTCCCCGGCAGCTTCTCAATAAAGCTATTCTGAAGCAAAGCTGGAGAGCTGCATTGTACAAAAACTTGAGAGGTTTGTATCAAAAGTCCACATTTCTGCACAGAACTGTAAAAACTGGGTGTTTTGTAATCTAAATTTGCCCACTAGAGGGACTTAGTGAGCAGGAAACTGATGTGAGTGGCATCATGTCTAACCGAAGTGGGGAAATTGAGCCTTTTGGTTTATGACATACAGATTATTCTTACTGAGGCATGTTACAAATGACAGTTTATCAATCAAAACAATTTTTTAAAAGACCGTACTCGTAGATTAAAGGCCCAAAAGTAAATAGCAAAACAAGATTTTATGACAGCAACTTGCATCTGTTATTGATATGAGTGGAACATACAGCTGATTGTCAGCGACTGACTTGGTTTCAGGGTGGAGAGGAAAATAGAGCATGAGAAGGGCGTGTGGGTGGAGTCTGTTTAGAAGGGCGGAAAGAGATTAGTTAAAAAGGGATTACATCAGCCTTTCCTAAAGTTTAGTGAGCTCTACGTAAAACCATCTGTGTATGTGTGTGTGTGTGTGTGTGTGTGTGTGTGTGTGT